TTATGTGTCCCTTTCTTACTACATGTGCAGTATTTTTCTCCTATGTCACAAAAACTGTAACCACAATTTACAAGTATATGCACAATCAAATTGCTATTGATTTAGCAATGCCTTTCTTTGATGTCCCTTGCCTTAACCTCATTTATAAAGCTGTTTTGCATTATTTCAAACTGTCAATGATTTGTGACTCATGAATATTCAAATCTAATTTGCACTTACCTTTTTTGCATGCATGCTTACTTGTAATTTGTCTCATTTGCCCTTTGTTTTGTGTTTATTTTCAGGTTATTTAGTGAAGTAAACTCTGCTTTTAAAGTAATAGCATCAAGTTAAACACAAGTTGTGCAATTCTCACCTTACTAGAGTCTTATATCACTGCAACTCCATTAACTTCCCTGGAGTTTCTCCTGCTTAAATAAAGAGAAAGTGGTTCATCAGCTATTTCTGACTGTTTTTTTCTTTGTCTGTGTGTTCACATCAACACCATTTAGCATGTTTCACTGGACTTGCAATGGCTTTATTTAGTATTTTATTCAGAAAGAAATACCAAGATTAACTGTCTCATTCTAGCATTTCAGATTTTAGGACCATTCAGATCTCCAAAACTGAGTGAAAATTAAGTTGTTCCCCTGACTTAAAATGCTTTATTATCAGAGGAAAATAAATTTTCATTTTACTTATTTTTCTGGTAAATCCAGTAGAATAAATCCCCCATTTAAGAATACTGTACAATAACATGCCTCTTCCCAGGAAAAACTCCACCTAACAAGTATCCTGATTGCAGAACAGTGGGTACAAAATCTCATTCTTTTTATTCTTGTTAATCAAAAAAAATGTCAGGTGCCCAAAGAAAGCTGGGCCAAGATATTTGCATGTTTTTTGCCATTTATGGAGGATTGTGTCATGAGAGCAGTGACTCTTTCAAATACTAAGGATCTTGCTAGATTTTCTTCAATGGATCAAGTCTGGAAAAAACAACAGAAAGAAATTTGGTTTTGAATCAAAAAATATGATCTTACTTAAATATCAAAAGCCATCTTCCAGGGAAAGTGATCTGAAGTTAAACCAGGAGCAGGGGGAAGAAAGGCAGTGGATGATTTTCCATAACGTTTGAAAGCTGAAATCAGCCTACAGTGGCAAAACTGGCGGTTCCTGGGTTCATGCTGCAACCCTAGCTGCACAGCAGCTGTAGGGGGTTCAGATGGCTCATGTTTTGATCATGTTTGTGACCATACATGTGAACATTAAAGCAAGCAGGATTTTTCTCTGAGCAAATATTAGATGAATGCATTTCCTTTATGGACCAAATCCTGCTTCTAATGGAAAGGAAGCAGGATCAGGTTGTCAGTGAATACCTGCACAAAACAAAAGCATGCAGACAGAGACAGGAATATTTGTTGGGCACTTTTATTATTCATTTAGTCTCCTAAATAATTTCAAGCAACCTTTTGGGAAATAGAGCAAATGTGATAGGTGATCAGTAACACATCAAGAGTAATGAAATTAAAAGCCCAAATGAACATATTGTGAATAACTAGAAACTGTTTGACTAAGCTTTACTTGATCAATATTTTGAAGTAAAAGTGAAGCAAAATTCCCTCACATGATGTGAGGTTCCCAATTGAGAATAAGAGATCTGAGCCCAGAAAATATAGCTGCATTCATCCAAGAGTTCATTTCAAATGAATAGTTTCACCATCTCTTCCATAAAAGAGAAAAATATTTCAGATATTTATTTTTAGCTTGGCACATGAATAATAGAAATGAAAGGATCTGCGTATTTAATGTGAAGGAATTCTCAAAAAAAAATCTCAATATATGGGTTAATAATTACATATCAGTAGAGTTTTGGGTTTTTTTTTTTCTAATACCAGTACCATGTTTTTAAATGACAAGTCTCAGCTGTTGTGAAGTCCAAGGTAGTCGTGTGCCCTGAAACACCCAAGAAATAGTATTATCCAGTATGACACATGCCTAGATATGTCTTATTGTGATCATAATATAGCCTAAAGGTAAGAATACAGAACAATCACTTGTGTGTTATTTTTTCAATGCTGTTTGTGTTTGTCTGCATCAAAGAAAAGCTTCTGCTACAGCTATTTATATCATTGATCAATAGAACTATTAATGATGGTTTATAAATGCATGAGACAAGTTTTAAATTTAGCATGTACTTTAAAAATGAAATCTATTAGTACATTAACTTGATCATGTTTCATCACTGAAAAGCCAGTTCATCTTGAAAAATGGTTTCGAAAAAGCAGAATGTACCACCATGACATGAAAGATACTTAAAGTGTCAAACAAAAACTCTGACTGTGAATCACCAAAGTATGAATTAAAGGACTGATGTTTTCCTGTACTGAGGGTTTACTGGAGGGATGGTGACGGTCCACATTTACTATCATTATGACCTAGAATGTTGAGTATTTCACACCTGCAAAACTACTTTGCAGAATCCTGTCCTGTGTCCTCCATCCACGTTCTCCTGAAGTCAATGGGACTTTAGGACAGGTTTGGACTTGATACTGAAGACTGTTGATGTCTTAAGTTTTATCTTTCATATTTTCCAGATTCTGTACTGCATTAATATATAACTCTGAACTTCATATAAAGTGTTAGCAAGTTCTCTTTGCAGGGTAGTTAGAGAAAACAATCCTTTTCTAGCCTGAGAACCAAGGACACCTTTGCAGCTCCAAGCCCAAAAAACATAAATAATGGCAATAATTATATTTAATGTTATATTATATTTAATAAATAATTATATTTAATAATAATGGAGCGCAATCTGGAAGGATGGGACTTCATAAACTAAAGCTGTAATTGGACAATTAACCCAAATATGTAAACGGACCAAAACTTATAAAAGTGTGAAAACTCATGACCGGTCGTCCATCTTGGGTGTAGCCACAGCCGGGCTCTTGCACTGCCCAAGACATATCCTGTGAAGGCCTTTTGAATAAATACCTGCTTTATTCCTTTAACTCTGTCTAGCTTCTGTTCTAGGCAGCCTCCCAAGGCATCACTGTCAGCATGGAAAACATTGTTGACAGAGATTCTCAGCACTGAGGTGGTTTTCTATGAACTTGGGGTCCCCTTAATAGGTGAGGTGTATGGAATGATTGGCAACCCTTGTGGTCAGTGAGAATTAAATCTGGTGACACATTTGCCTAGTCTTTTAGAGCTATTTGCTGTATAGTCACAGTGTAGGACAGTTTCCTTTCTAATGTACTAACTAATTAATTAATTTAATTTCTAATTAAAGTCAGTGGTGATTCAGCAAGATGAGTTTTGCTTTTTTGAGTTCTTGGCTAACAGTGATAGGAAAACCATGGTGAGTAGAAGTATGTAAACACAGTAAGATAGCTAGATGTACATTCTAGACACGGGACCTATTATTTAGAATTAAGACCAGTCTCTGCCCTTTAACATCATTACCAAGGAGAGTACCCCACTTAATTCACCATAAATAGAAATTCCTAGATCCTTTTATTTTAACACGGAAAACACAGTGATGTCTCAGAGCTTGTTAAGTCTAGATGTTGTCCCTCTGCTTCCTCTTCATTCTCCTGTGGGGACCATTTTCTTCTGTGAGAATGGGATCTTCTCTGCAGTGTTACTGCGGATCATCCTGCTCAACCTAACAAGACTCAAATGCAAGAATAAGATTTTCAAAATGATGAGCAACAGAGGGAAAAAATAGAACAATCATGGAAGATTCAGATTATTAAACAGTAGGTATTAACCACTCTGTTCCCTAACTTACCTTATATCTGAGTTTCATTGCCTCCCATTAGTGAGGTAATTAATTTAGCAGGAGACATGAAAGGAGCTAGAGATGGCAGCAGACATGGGTGAGAAAGAAGTCAAGTATAGGTTTCTAATGGTGGGCAGTGGAAAAGTGTTTTTGACACATGTTTTGTAAAAGTTATAAGAGTGTAAAGGACTGAATACAGAGGGGTGTGAGATGTGGTACCTTTTCTACTGTTTCATCCAGGGCTGTGTCCTGGATATTTATAAAAGGAAGGGCAAAGCCTTGCAAGCCAAGGCAACATGTCTAATCTTCTTGTGTAGCTTTGACCACTTACAGTGAAGGGTTAATCCAAAACCCCCTAAACTAAAATGCTTCCTGCTTAGGTGGAAAATACATATATATCTAATGCTTTTTAAGAGAAATGTTGTACCCAAGTATTGTTTTGTGAGCTGGGAGTGCTGCGCTGAACCTCTGGGGCAAATGTTTGCACTGAGTTGTTGAAAGAGACTGAGATTGGCAACGCCACCCTGCCCTTGGCTAATGAGCCTTCCCCGAGAGAATATCAAGTGCAATTACCTTTCAGGGAATAACAACATACCAAAGTACCATGGACCCTGCAGAGGAAAATGAAACACACATTCGTAGGTAGAACCTGTTATGAATCAGCATTAATTATCCAATAGAGAGAACGGGGTTGCAATAAGTCTCAGTTCCCAACTCACACCATAGATCACAGCAAACGTGAGCTACTTATAGAAAAAACATTTGTAAAGTTCAGTTTGCCCTAGCCCCCCTCCTTTCCATGTACACTCTGCACTTGAGTTGTGCTTGGGGGCTGTGCTTCTGGGGCAACATTCCCGACCCACGGTTTGGAGGTGACTGAGTGCAATAAAAGAGGGCTGTTGGCAGCGAGAGAGGCTCCCGAACGTCAGCAGTACAGCGAGGCTGAGGCAAGGACTCACTCGAGGTTTCACAGGTGCTGACTGGCTGAGGACACCAGGCCCCTCTCAGCAGCGCTCAAGGAGGTCGGGCTGCCGGGTGGCCGCCTGCCTTTGGCCGCAGAGCCGGGGAAAGCGTCCCCCCACGGCTGGTTGTCCCAGCAAAGACCAGAAACGTGGAACAGTCCCGGGAGACGGGCTTTTTGCTGCGCACATTCCTAAGAAGGAGACCGAGGGAGAAGGCGGGACGGCCGCATATTCCGGGTTGAGACAGCGGGAAGACACGCGGCTCTGCCAGAGCTGAAGAGATGCGGGGGGATGCTGGCCGGCGCCCCTGTGCCGGGGCTACGCGGGGGCGGAGCACAGCGGAGCGGGAGGCCCGGCCGGAGCAGCCGTCCCGCACGGCCCCTCACAGCCCCGCACGGCCCCTCACGGCCCCGCACGGCCCCGCACGGCCCCTCACAGCCCGCACGGCCCCTCACAGCCCTGCACGGCCCCTCACGGCCCCTCACGGCCCCGCACAGCCCGCACGGCCCCTCACGGTCCCGCACGGCCCCGCACGGCCCCTCACGGCCCCGCACAGCCCCGCACAGCTCCGCGCATCTCCGCACGGCCCCTCACAGCCCCGCACGGCCCCGCACGTCCCCGCACAGCTCCGCGCATCTCCGCACAGCCCCTCACGGTCCCGCACGACCCCTCACGGTTCCGCACGGCCCCGCACAGCTCCGCACGGCCCCGCGGAGCCCAGCAGCGGCAGCCCTGAGCGGCCCCGGCGGCTCCCCAGGGAGCGGGGAAACGCCGCCGCAAACTCTTCGGACGTGAAAACGGCGCGGAGCGGGGCCGGCTGCTTTGCTGAAAGCGGGCGCACGTATATTGAGTTTGTCAGGGATCATAAAATGCGAATTGATTATTCAAACAGCCATTGATTATAAAAGAATGCTTACTGCAGCAATGGGAAAGGTTAAAAGGAAATTGACCCTCTGCGTACGTGACATAAAGTCATTAGGTAAATGAGATATTCATACGGGGTGTAATCAAGGTCATGCTAATTTTATTTGCGGTATTCGACTCAAATCTCGAGCTTCGCTTGGGGACAGAAAATTGCCCCCAAGGGAAATGAACCGCCAGGTAGACCACAGGTGCCAAAAAAAACCCAAAAAAAAAACAACCCAAAAAGCCCCAGGTAAATAAAAGCCGAGTAGGGGAGTAAATTCCGCCGAAGCCCCTTGTCCGTGGTGGGCACGAAGCGCAGGCCCAGCCCCAAGCCTGGTGCGGCCGCGGGGGACGGGAGGAGCTGGGGGCAGGAGCGGGGCTCCCCGCCGGGCTCTTCTCACCTCGCTGCTCCCGAGTCCCCTCCGACCGGGGAAAGCTGGGCGTGCGAGCCGTGTCAAAGATCCTCGCCTCTCCCAGACAGTAGGAGAACGTGTAAAAAAATTAGATTTATTTATGCACATATTTATCCCCTCTAATTATAGAAATTAATCCTCTTACTTATGACTAAAAGGTAACGTCTAAGGCGTCCCTTTGATGTTTAACAGCATCATTTGTGGCTAACATTCCAACTGATTAAGGAATAATTGTTGTTAAATGCTTTACAAGTGGATAGTGTTTAATTGAGAGGCATTCATAATTTTACGGCTTACCACAAAATGAAACGTAATTAAAAACGCAGAAACTTCCAACTGATTTTGTTCCAATTATGTTTATTGTTCAGACTAATTACTGCACAAGACGGGGTACTTTTCCCCATGTCTAAATGACACACGCTTCCCAAATACACCCTTGCAGGTTTTTCTTTTCCAGGTACAGGCTTGGGACGGCTTTCTGCAGCCTCCGCTCTCCCCACCCCCCACCCCTCCCCATTATAATTAAATGCTCCAGCCTTTTCTTCTCTCCCCCATGCAACACCTTGGGATGTGAGAAAGTGATGGCAGCTTTCTTCCCTCGGAGCTCGAAGTAATTGTAGAAGGGCTGATGAATTTCTTGAAGAAACACTTGCCACACACTGAGGAAACCATCTCCTAGCAGGATTTTACAAACCAAAGTAAACAAAGCACCCCAGGGGCGATTTCCTCCTTTTGCGCAGCGTACTTCTCAATTTACCTCAGAAGGGATCACAAACACACACGAGAGTTATAACAGAAATCATACTTGGTTTGGGAAACATATTCTGTACAAGAAGCAGAGAAATTGAAAGTGTTCAAAGGAAGGGACGGTCATTAAAATACCTGCCAGGCGCGCAGCCATTCCCTTAACTAACCTTCCATCTTTCCCGTGAACTCAGAAATCTCTTCAGCATCTATTTACACATAGATATCCCAGGGGTGGGGGGGGTGTTGCGGGAAGGGGGAAGGGGAAAGAAACTAACCCACACACCCCTCAGGTCCATCTCACCAACACCTTTAAAACACCCTCATCCTCTGAAAGGGGTGGGGAATAAAGTTACCTGCCTAATCTCACTGTTTGTTCTATCGAAGAGAGTTTATTGTGCAAATGGATTTATTTATTTATTCCTGAGTTTCTCCATCCCTCAGCTGGGCTCTTGGAGAAAATAAGAGAGTTGCCTGAGATCATGCTAATAAAAAATCACTGCTTACGGTTAAAGGGAATAATCACATCGATCAGACCCTGATAAATAGGGGCAGGGGGCATCAAATGCCCAATACTGCTTACAGTTCACTTTTTTTCCTTTGGGTTCCAAACCGTTAGGAAAGGATCACACACATATTTATTGCTTCTTTTGTCTCCTTCTTTCTAGCAAGATTCAGACCCCTGCGCGTGTGTTTGTGGTTCTGGGGCTTGTTGCTCTCTTTGGGAAGGCTGTGGCATGCACAGGTGTGCTTTGGCTCATCACTGTAACCCTGTACCATTTCCCAATTCTCCTGGAGGGTTTAATCTAGGTGTGAGAGCAGAAAAGTCTGTAAATTCTACTGAGGAAATAAGAGGGGCCAGGGTAAAGG